ACGTTATTTTGTAAAATTCATAAATAATTAACTATTTTAAAAAATTTTAATCTTTAAACTTATTTTGTCATTCAATAATTTGAATGTATATGTGCAATATTAATCTATACTTTTATAAGATTAAGCTTATACTTCCTAATAAGTACATTTTTAGTGCCATATAAATTTTATAATTTATACAAATATTTATTTCGCACGATATGCAGCATGGCCAGTTTATAATGTACATAATTTTTTTGTGCAAGTATTTAAATATTATTCAAAATATCACATACTTCTTCATTTCATTATGTTACTCAACCATTACTAATTCAATCAAAATCAACTAAATAGTAGTTGTTCTCCTATCGATTATTTATAGTGTTAAACAGTAACTCTAAAAGTACAATTTGCAACAATTTAAGAGTGATCAATCATACATTAAATAACAAAATGTAGGAATTTGTCATTTGTACACTAATAATATAATTTTCTCTGATGTAACATTTATATTTAAAGTATATATTTTGTTGTAACAATATTTTTAACTGATGAAACAATCCATAAATTATTTAGATAAACCTGATCAGTAATCAGACCAATCCTCGTCCTCTCTGTAAATTAATTGTAAATTTATTAATACTTCAAAATCTTAATTCATATTAAGTACAGCCCCTCACCAACAATAAGCTTTGAGAGCAAAGCAAATGTTTAGATGCTAAATGATCTTCACCAGTAAATATGTATAACTATATAACAATCATAGCTATTTGCTGAAGCTAACAAATAATAGTTTTTTATTAATATAATTTTCGTTTGAAATAATACCTTATTCTCATGGAGATTATTTCATTGTAACAAATCAGATAAAGGATTATAACCTTGTATTGTAAAAATATATACTAAAAATATTGTACAGAGATCAATTGAAACTATAATCACAGAAGATATTCTCGTTAAATTATAGTTGGTACCATTATCAATAAAAATTTATATACATTCATAGTACAAGCATAGCATTGACAGCACACTTAGCACATCACACAAAAATAAATTATATACTTAATATAGACCCGTGACTTGGACGTCTTTTGCTTTGTTTTCCATGTATTTGATTCTGATTCTCTGCTGTTAAATTTATGTTTAATTGCGCTGTTGATGCAGTTGTTACATCATCATCTGATTCCATTGGACTAATTCGAATAGCTTGATACCATTGATTTGTTAGATCTGTCATTTGTGATTTACAATCTTTTAATTCTTGTTGTGTAAATCTTCTTGTAAAAAATGGGATAAAAAATTTTAGATCCCATCTTGCAAAACCACGAATTCGTGACTGAAGGAAAGATACTTCAATCTCCTCTTCTGTAAGTTCTGACAAATGTTCAGAATCTATTGTTTGTCCCTACAATAAAAATATAATGCATAAAATACATATATTTTGCTATATAAATATTTCCATACATATAGACATACCCATTCTCTAGTTTTACTTAATGAAACTTCTTTGTCTTTCCTTTTCCTCCTACTATTGTTTTTTGGTTTCTTTTCTGCTCTCAAAAATTTCAATAATGGCATAGTGGAACCACCAAATATTAATGTTGTAAATAATACAATGATTAATGTAGTGGTGATTATCACATGTCGTGTTTCATCACTAAAATCTAAATGTAATGACAAAGCATATGAAATAGCTCCACGCAGACCACTAAACCACATTATGAACATCATTTTTTTAGTAATTTGATGCTCTCGAAAACGATTCACAAGAAAAGCTAAAGGGAAAATGTTTGCAGCTCTACCAATTAGGCATAGAACTATAGACCATATAATTAATGCAGGTTCAACCTGCAATTGAAATTTATTGTTAATGTAAAATACATTAAAATATTGAATATGAGCTTTATATTGTTATGTTATATTACCGTACCCTATGTCTAAAGCTGAATAAAGCTAATCCCAAATATGCAAATACACAGGTTTCAGCAATGAATGCTAAGGTTCTCATAGTTTGTTGCATTGTAATTTGAGTAACAGTTGATAAATTAAAATGTGTATAATGTGACATTACAATTCCATTAAATAAAATTGCCATAATACCTGAAATAATTTGTTATATTTAAATCTTAATTATTTACTTTACTATATTAAAAAATACTCAATGTAAATATATTCTTACCAGATAATTGGATGCCTTCTGCCAAAACATATGGAGCATATGTAAATACCAACATAAGTCCAAATTCAAGAGAAGGATTCTTTCTGAGATCCACATGTTTGAGTAATAATGCACTTATAAGAGCAAAGACAACTCCAATGCCCGCAGAGGCAAAAAACATAAGACAAAATCTATTTAAGCCAAGTATAATGGCTTCACTAGTAGTTGTTGCATTATTGGATTCCAATACAGATGTAGTTAATACAATGGAAATAGCATCATTTAAAATAGATTCTCCAAAAACTAACATGTTTAATACTGGATCTACCTCTAAGGCATGAAATATAGCTACAGTAGCAACCGGGTCTACTGCTGATATTAATGACCCAAATGCAAAACTTTCAACAAAACTAAGTTTATATGCTACCTGAGCTAACCCTAACAAATAAATTCCAGCTCCAATAACAAATGCAGATATGGCTGTGCCAAGTATAGCAAAAACTAAAATACTGCCAATATTTTGAAAGAAATTTCCTTTATGTAAATTATATCCAGATTCAAATATAATAGGTGGAAGAAGTACAAGAAAAAATGCAGTTGGAGAAAAGGCTTCTTCTTTTCTCCAATTAGCTATGTTTTGATTTGACATAAGATTTATAATCATACCAATGGCTCCTCCCAAGAAGACAATTACTACTGATTCCGGTAGATACTGAAAATTTGTTTCTAGCATAAGATGTATAAGTAAAATGCCTAATGCTAAAACACAGAGAACAAAAAATATGGACATAGAACTATTATGTTCTTCTTCTGCGGATCCCTTATCCGGTAATACTGGTTCTGCTGGCGTAACTGTTGTTGTACTCGTATTCGTTGCGTTATTAATATCCGAACTTTGTGACGGAATTGTAAAATCTGACATATTATTTCCATTTTTATCATTAATAATACTTGTAGATAACGTATTAACTTTCTCAGTTGTTTGACTGTTATTATCACGATCAGGTTGAACTGTAGTTGTAGATACGTTTCGAGATGTTGTATTTAGTACTGAAGTAGTGACACTTGGTTTCACATTACTATTGTCAGAATTTTCTAAAGTACGTAATTCTATTGAAATATTAGTACTCAAATTCGTCGGCGGAGAATCTTTCAACACAGTATTTTTACTGTCCGATGTGCCATTTTCATGTTTGGGGTTAGAAATGTCTTCTGCATATGTCACTGTAGTCCACGCACCAAAAACCAAAAATGTGATGCAAATAATGAAATTTTTATATGAAAGTTTATTATCAACTGAATACAAATTCATGTTTAAACTGTTTTCGGCACTTAAATATACATTTCCCCGGTCAGGTTCAACATTGTGATGACACTGATATAGAATATTTCGATATCTCGCCGTATGCTTACATCACCCATAGAACACGTGTTTCAGTAAAAAAAAAAGTTACGAGTTCTTTACATACAAAAATTTAGCAGTTTATTTAATTTTTTTAATTTATATTAGTAATCTGTAATAAAGCATACAAAATTGATAAAATTAAAACTGTTCGGCAAAAAGTATTTACAAAAATTAAAGTTATACAGGGTGTCCCGTAACTCCTCGAACACCCGGAAATGGGGGGTTGTTGGGGTGACTTTGCACAACTTTTTCCTTTACCAAAATGTTGTTTGAAGCTTCATTTTTGAATTATTAACGAAAAACACTGGCCAATCAGAGCGTGCGTAGAGCCCGCGCTTAGGGACGGAAAACAGAGACTCATCCGCGCGCGATCGAACAAATGCGTACGCGACTTATTAAGTTAAAACTGCACATATAAAAAGAAAATGTATGGTTGATTTTTAAACTATGTTAAAATTAATATTTTTATTATACATGTAATCCGGTCTGCATTTTAGCAATGAGTAAGACAAGAAAGCCAATAGAAAGAAACAAGAATAGCATTAAAGAAATGAGTTAGACAAGGAAAATAATAGGGTTAAACAAAGACTGAAAATTTTCAAAAGCAAAACTAACGCCATCTCGTGTTTGGTGATGCGAACTACGACTTTTTAATAGGAATATAGAAAGTAAACAGAGGTATTAGACAAGGAAATCACTACTGTGCGACAAGGATAGAGAGAAAACGTTTCCTATTGGTTCGCGGGCGGTAATGGCCGCCTTTCAGACGCTACATAAAGTCGGCCAGGAAAAAATCATTAATAACTCATTATTTACGATGAATTTGTGAACTTTTAGGATTGAAAGCTGAACTGTGGACCTTCAGAAACTTTCACATATGAATTTTATTGTACTAGACCTTTTTAATAATTAGTTATTAACAATTTTAGTACGGGCTCTCAGAGACGATAAACATTATTGAATCTCTATTTCTGATTACAACATTATTAGAAGCGTTATTTCGAACGCAAACATTATTACAAGCACTACGCTTGAATGTAACATTGTTACAAGCGTCATTCTCGCTTGTAACATCGTTAACTCGTATTATATTCGAATGCACATTGTAGCAAATGTGTTATCGATTTTGCAACTTTGTTGGCGCGAATCGCGCTCGAGATTTTGCACATTGTTGCACGGCGAACCGCGTTGCAACAAATGTGCACTTTCACAAAGGGGGTCGTAACAACAAAGTTACAAACGCGGCGCACCGTTTTGCAACATTGTGCGTTTTTTCGAGACGATTCGCGGCAACAAAGTTGCAAGCGCGATCTCTCCTTTTCAAACTTTGAGTCGCGTGCACAATTTGAATGATGTATAGGTCTATTCTGTTCCTCGTCTATGATATTATATATTTAGAAGTACATATAGAATTCTATATTTTGTATACGGTTATAAGATATTGTGTCCTATACTTTATTTGTAATTTCATATTTACATTTAGTTCTAATTTCAACCACTACTAATGTTGTAATCTTATTCTATGCTGAATCGATAACGTTGGAAACGACACGAAAATGGTATGGGAGCTCTAGAGCCCCGCGATGTGGGACAAAGAAATAAATTGGGTGATAGGTCTATTGTGTACCACGTCTGTGATATTACATTACGGACATTATTGTATTTATTATATTCATTCGTTATCTTTTTTTATAGAAATAGATTCATTTTCATAACAGTTTGGTAAACCAGAGCGGCCAATTTCTGCTGAATGTACTGCATCTTTGCCTAATCTTTGTTCAACTCCTTTCCATGATCTATTATGTAAAAATTCAGCTCCTGCTTTCCCGATTGCAACAACACCTAAATCAATTAAAATAACAGAGTTACACAAAATATATTCTGCTGTTATATACTGGTATTTTTTGTAACACAGAGGTACCTGTTGAATTATTAATTACTAGAGCATTCATCTTATCTGTGCATAGAGCACTTTCATTACAGTTTCTAAGTTCACCAGTAATTAAAGAGACATCTGAATCTGTTGATGCCTTAAAATCAATATAATTTATTCCTCCAGGAAGTATTTGTCTAAAGTCCATACAACTTTGTGTATAACATTCCCTTGAACTATTAAATGCTAATTCTACTTCATAAGGCATTAGTATTGGTTTAAAGAATTCTCTAGAATCAAATATTTCATTTTCAGGACATGTTATCACAACAAAGGCATCAATCTGTAAAGATACAATATAATGTTACCAATACTACTAATATAGCTAATATTTTTAATTGTATTGACATACCTCAGGAAAATTAGCAAGTTTTGTTGGATTAATTTTACCAACACTCAAAATATAAGATTTTTTATTTTTTTCTTTTAAAATATGCTTAACCATTGTTATTATTTTAAGATAATCTTTAATGCCTAGAGTAGCTACAACTATACCAACAACTTTGGCATCTTTTAATTTTTCAACTAAAAACCTTCTTCTTTTTAACCATGGTGTATTTAAAGCTTCATATTCAACAACATTATTATTTTCAAAATAGTACCACTTTTTTGCAGGAATTGTTATTGCTAATGTAGTGAATGTTTTTCCATCGTTTCCCAGGAAAAATGCTGCATAATCTTCTATTTTGTATTCCTTATCTAATTTAAAACACCTACCTAAGATTACTGTAGATGAACAATGTTTTGTATCTGTGAATTTCACATTAGAAGTACAGTTTAATGAAGTAAAGATTAAATTTTTATAAATAGAACTCAATATTTTATATATATTTTCTGAAATAAAAACATATTTATGATAG